TTTTTTTTTTTTTTTTTATTCTTAAAAATACTTGTAAGCTGAAGCAAAAATTTTACTAGGATCTAAACATCAATTTATAATGTCAATTAAGACATTTTAAATTGATGCTCAGATCAGCTAACTGTCTAGCATAATTGTATGGTGAACTGATGTTGCAGTGAAGGAGACGATAATTCAAAAGCTATGAAGCCGCCGGCTAAACCACAACGTTTTATTGCTCGAATGACATCAGCAGAAAAAACTTATGTGATGACAGCGAACAGTCATGATTTTCAATCTCCTCTAACCAGTAGCTGTGATCAAGATTGTCGGTTAGTTTTAGCTTCTTATTTCCCTTTTCTACCAGTAATTTCTTAATTTTTATTCAACTTTTTTTTAAAATTATTATTCAAATTTGGTTAATCTGCATAAATTTATTTTGGAAGAAAAAAAAATTTACATAAGAATCTAAGAATACTGTAGTTTAGTAAACTGAATCAGTATTGTTGGTTTTGTAGATATAAATCAACAATTTCATTATCATCGACAAAGGATGAGGAATGTTCAACAAATGATTTGGAAGTTGCAACACTGACCGCAATATCCAATTCAACAACACACGGCACTCAAACAGACGATGAATTCTTGCACATACAAGAAGAAACTAATAATGATGCTAGAAGGAATTCTCATCATTTTGAGAGAATTCGTGTTAGAGGAATACAGATTCCATCATCACCTACCTATTATTCAGTATTTTCAAATTCTGCTAGCTTAAATACATCGGCAAATTCAGTAGCTGTTTCACAGATTAGTGACTATGACAGCCTGCCAACAATAAGTCAATTTCGAGACAGTTCACCAGGCAGCAGTCATCTTCGGCGAATTTCATCGCTTCGTAGCTCACAACCATATTCGTCAATTAAACAGGCAAATTTGAATCGGAAGGCGAGACATAGCACAATAGCACAAATTGGTAATTATGCATCTACAGAACCACTTTGGAAAATGATTTGTTCAGAATGTGGCAAAAGAAGGTAAAATAGCGTTTATTTTATCATCTTTATTCTCCTTATTTCATTTTATTTATTTATTGATTTTTTTCCTGGTATATAATGCTCAATTTTTAACAGTATTGTGTAAGATTAAAACGTAAAAATTTTACTGCTGAAACGGTTACATTAATTGATTTTTGAAAAATTTTAATGCAGTATATTTTTATTGTGTGAAAAAGTAAAAAATAAAACAAATGAAACTAATAAAGTTAATCAGGAGTTAGTTTTTTTCATTTTTCTGTATTTTTTGAATATTATAGCGACAGTCAAATGTCAAATGTGACCCAGAGCACCATGTACGAATCAAATCTTACATTACAAGAACCATCATCTTCAAGACGACAGTCTTCCACAGCGTCAATTTTTGTGAAACGGGTTGGTGGTATAACTATTACTTAAAACTGGTATCTGTTAGTTTTAATCTTTTTTTTTCTTTCTTCATTGTTGTCCTGGTTGCTGTCACTGTTTTGTTTTTGACTGCTAATTGATCTTACTTCTTCCCGGTTGATTAATTTTGTAATTTTTCGTTGTTGAGAGAGAAAAAATAAACAGTAAAAAAACTGTCAACATTGAAAAAGAAGAAAAATTTTTGGGATTCATCAATTTGCTTTCCTCGTAGTTCTATCCGAAATAAAGAACTTTGAGTACATTTGTACAACTGAAAACAGCACATTTACTTCTTTAGGAACCGCCGCTTGACACACCGTTGATGTCACAGTCATGGAATGGTTGCTCCAATATTTCAAATGGTTTTTTGGCCGAAACATCGGATCGGCGTTGTTGGCGTAACCGTGGATCACCACCACCGTACTCACAGGTTATCTTTTTACCTTTTTTTTGTTTTTTTACAATCTGACAGCATCAGATCTTATCTTTTGTTGGCATTTTGAGGAAAACAAGATAACGGACTTAACTGCTGATTGTACTGCTGATACTTGTTAATCCTTATAACCTGAGAGTTTTCTTAGCACTACTTTTTTTTATCTTGCAGCTTCGTATTGTACAATGCGGAAATCGTATGACGTCGCAAGTAATGGTTAACCAGTCGCCGCAGGTTGGTAGAAAAGCCTCCGGGCCACTGAAAACCGGTTCGGAATTTATCCGTCAAAGGTTTGTTCTTTTCATCACCTTTCTTTCTACTAAATTTTTTAAATTTCTTCAGACTGATTAAACTTTTTAAACTTTAACTTACTACTTTTTATGATAACCAGTTACCTACTGGAGTGTTTATAGAAATTGCTTAAACAGATTTAATGTAACATAAATTTTTTTTATTACACAGTTCTAAAACACTTAAACAGTAATGATAATAAAAATAAATGCTAAAACAAAGATAATGTCATTGGGAACAGTGGCAATAACTGCAGTGAAACAAAGCTTGTATCATTTTTAAGATATCCGCCAGTCGAACCGTCCACTTCTGGAACTTATTCGGCAAAATCTGTAGATTCTTTGAGTAACAGTAGCGTTGATTCGGGGCAAGGTTCTGGTGAACTAAGTTCGCATGGGCATTCAAGTAAGGAGGTTTTGGATGGATCTTACGATGTTGTCAATCAACGAAACCTGCCCAGTTATGCTCGTATGGCTAGTAAGTTTCTCGTTTACAGAGTTTTGATTAAGCAGTATTTTCTTCTTGTTCAGATTTTTCAAAACTTTTGAATGACTATTTGGAGCTGATTGAAGAAATTTGTGTAAAGTAATCGGTAAAGTAAATATATTTAAAGAAATTATCTTTGGAACTGAAGTGAACTGCCGCATCTTGATTTTCTTCAGATGCGATGGATCAGATTTTAAGGATGAGTACATCGGTTTATACCCTGCTTAATTTGCCCAGAGATCGGATCACATCTCGTGATTTGATCGCTAAAACCAATATTCTTGTTCATATTGTTGAGTCTTCGCCAAGTGCATCTTTCCTTCCGACAGAAGTAACATCTTTTACACTTTCTTACTTATGAAGTTTGTATCTGTCACTAAATCTTGAACAGTTTTGAAATGGTAATATTTGGTTGCTGAATTTGAAGACAAATATTTTTGCTTGTTTGTTTTTGAAAAAGGGAAAGGAAAATTTTTTATTTCAGAATCTGAATAAAATCAAGCAAATGGTAAAAGAATTACAAGCAGAATATAAGCGCAGTAACCGACCAATATTTATTACCAATTTTTTCGGTGCCACATTGCGAAAACTTTTAAGGGAGATTCTTTTACTATTTACTAAGGTCAGTTTTTTTCTTCGCTGCCGATGTATCAACTAAAAAACCTTTTGTTCTTTTCTGTTCAGGACTTTTTTGTCAACAGTTCCTTTTTTTTTCTCACATAATTATCAAAGGACGGAAATTATTGTTTGTTTAGGTACTATTTGGCAATTAGTTTTAGTAATTAATAATTTTTTTAACGTGCTTTTTTCAGATAATTTCTCGGTATTTATTGGACTGTACAAATAAAGATCGTTTGCTTGTGATTGCTTTAGAACATCTGATTCATATAATGTTATTTGGTGAAGAAATGAGGCTAGAAGCTATTCGGGTAAAATTGACAACCAAATACACGTTTCTCAAAAAAAAAAAAATATTGTCTCGAAGGAAATAAGTTTGTTCAAAAATTTCAGTGCAGTGGCCTAAAAGCAGTTTATTCGTTTTGTCAGTTGAACACCACTCCACCAGACACTTTAAGGTTGCTTCTTCGAGCTTTAGCAGTAATGTGTAATGCCAATAAAGGATCCCAACAAGTTTTAAGTGTAAGTTTTTCCACTTTTATGATTGACTGTATATTAAAATTTCCAGCCAGCATTATTACCTCAATTTTTTGGATAAAGCTGCTAAAACTCACGCAGTAAATAATATAACTCAAAAAAGAACACTTCTAAATGGCTTTAATGATTATTACTTATGATTAACAGTTTGTAATTACACTGTTTACTAGACAGAATTTCTGTAATAAAGTAAGTTTTAGAAGTATTATCATTTGTTGCTTAAAATTTTAGCTTGGAGGTTTGGATCTGATAACACATATTCTGTGTACCTCACCGGTTCCTTGTGGAGTAGAAGCTGCAGGTGTGCTGACGCAGCTGACAAACCCAAATCGAGGCATCGTTAAATTAACACCATCAATTACCAGTATTGCTGCTCGACTTTTAGGTTGGTAATAAAATGTAGAAAAAATAGTGTTAAAAGATGTCTTTTACGGTTAGAAAGGAAATTTCTTTTTTTTTTTTTTCAATTACTCAAAGCTTTAGATGTCATTGATGTATGTACCAGTGGTGAAGCACTTCTGTTATGTGTAGCAGCTACGGCTAATATATCTGTTCAAAGTAACGCTGTTGTCAATGTTCTGTATCAGCATAACGCTGTCAAGCGGTTAATTGCAGCACTGAATCGTCCAAAATGCAGTACAGTATTTGTGCAGGAACAAGTAACAATTTTCATTTCTGTAATATTTATTGTATTTAACCAGATGTGTCGACGGTTGACTAAATTTTGGTTTACTGCTGTTTTTTTATTCTTCAATTAATTCGTAAATTACAATTTTGTTTTTTTACGAACAGGAAGATAAAGGGAAGAAGAAGTGTTAAAAGGAGAAACGTCTAGGACTGAGAAGTTTCTATGTCAGTCTTCTGTAACATCAGTTGAAATTCATAAGAAGAAAATTGGTCAGTTTAGGTCGCAACAGTCTTCTATCGAATGGCAGTGAGAGATTATGAGGAGGCATTAATTGCACAAGGAGCAATTCCAGTACTTTTTTCGATGTTAAGCATTTGCGATTCGGTATTTACGGAATATTCTCGTCGGATACAGTATAAAGCAGCGGTATGCCTCGGTACAATGTCATCGAAAGGGGTCGGATTAAAGGCAATTTATAAAAATAACGGTAATATTTGGTATTTTTGGACCATTTTCTTCACAAATTAACCATATTCAACTATAATTTCTGTGACAGTTTATTGTTTCCGCAGAAAAAAAGTGTTATTTTATGGTTTTGTTTTTAGGGTATGCAGTAATTCTAAAGGTGCTACAATCTGGAAGTGTTAGCAATACGCCCGTTGAACGGATATGTTTGGCAATTAAAGATAAACTTGAAACAAAATATGAAATCGAAAGTGCTGTTTAAAATTGTTCATTTGTGGATAAATGTGAACTAATTTTGAAGCTGTGGAAAGAAAACAAATAAAATGTGAAAAAAATTGTAGAAATACAGTTGTATTGTTTATTCTATTTTTTTTATTATTTTTTAATAATAAAAAGTTCTGAATATTTGGTGAAGAACACAGTGATACATCACAAAATTGAGAAATAATGTTGAATGCATTTTTAAGCAGTAGAGAAAATTTCTTCTTGGAATTGACGATTTAAAAGCGTGATTTTTTATCTGATAATCAACTGACAAAAATTTTGAAAACTTCTTTTTGCACGGAGTGTTAACTAAAGTACCAAGAAATAAATTTATTGTTGCTTTTCTTACAGGCTTCTTTGAGTTAGTTTTTGTGTCTTTCCGTTTTTTTTGTACTAAAGGGAAACATTTGACTGGCGAAATAAACAGCGAACAGCATCTAAACTGAAACAATGAACTTTTGATTGTACAGAAGAAGGGAAGGTTGGATAGGCTTATGGGTTGGTATTGTCAACAAACGAAATAGTTTCGGAACATAATTTGTGTTACCGAAAGCTGCGATAGTCTTTCAGGAGTCCAAAAATTCATTTATTTTCTCTCAGTGAGAAAATTCGTAAATTAGGTGGTTTATTTTGAAAGCAAAAAACAAAGATAATTAAAACTGTAAAATAAATAGCATGGGAAACTGTTAAGTGGGTTCCGCTTTACTAATATTTTATTATCTTTTCCCTAAGAGGAAAATCAACGAAAAAACGACAATAAAATAAGATAAAAACGAGGTGCTGCAGTGTAATAACAATTTATTAGGCAATTCTCATATCAGAAATATGCTTTTCTTTCAAAGGCTGAAAATTATTCAAATTATTGTTTTTGTTGTAGTGAATAAAGACGATCGAAAAACTCAACATTGATCTCATTAGTTGAAAAAGAAAACAGCTTATTCTAAGAGTTAAAAATACAAAAAAATTGTTGTAATTGGTTGGTTTAGAGTAAAGTCAAACGACAAACCAAAAAGTGCTTTAACTAATAATAGAGACAAAACAATCTGAAGGTCAAACTAAGTGAACTGAGAAGAATGCTGCAATAAGTTTATAAAATTGTTTGATGTAAAGTACCTCGTTAAAATTAGAGGAAGAAAAAACAAAGTTTTTACTGTTCAATAAAATTTGCTTAAAGTAGGTAAAACAAAATATGAAGTTGATAAATTGAATTTTTATTATTTTTGCTAGAAAAAAAAAGGAAGGAAAATTGTAGAGAGGTCAATTCTGCAAACTGTAAAAGAACTGTTCTGTTATGATGCTGTGCTGTACAGAAGTTATGAGATGAGACTAAACGTGCTTTAGTCTCATCTCATAACTTCTGTACAGTTTAAGAAAGTGGGAGATTTTTGAAAGTATTCAATTGTAGACAAACAGGTAAATGAGAACAGAATTAAAGAAGCATAAAGTTTTTGATTTTACATATAAATTTGACAAATAAAAAATTAGCCGAACAGACAAACAGATTTCTACTGTTCAAGTGCCGAGGACCATTGAACAATCAAATAGGTAAGCAAAGACTGTACCAAACTGTTGCGGTACCACAATTCAAATGTCCGTCACCTTAACACCTGTTAAAAAAGACCAAAAGCTAATAATTTTGTTGTTTTTCTTTTATGTTTATTTACCTTTTTTTTTTGTCGTAGTTTTCTACCTAATCTGAAAATTGATATGAAAAAAATTATGCTTATTCTATGAGTTTTTTTTTGTTATTTTGCAAAAAGAAAGAATACATCCGCTTTTGATAAAATATATGTAATAAAAAAATTTTTTTGAGAGTCCAAAAGAACCGATTCAAGTGTTTTTGACAGTTAAGTTGGTCACTGAATAAAGAAGAATAAAAGGATAAAAAACAAAAAGGTAATATTTTTCTCCATTTTACTATGGCAAACTGTTTGCAAAATGTAAGAATTTGTTAAGAATTAACAGGTTTGGGACAAGGTACTTATTGGTTGGCTAACTGTGGTTTTTACGATAGTGACATTAGTGACAATACTGGCAGATATTTCAAAATTATGTATTTATTTATTTTCTGTTCAACAGATCCTATAGTTTTCACTAAAAATTTATGATAACTTTTTCAAATATATTCTTAGTTGTAGCATAATTTATGAGGTGATGTGCCTTCAAAATTCAAAAAAAAAACATAAAAATTAAAATCAAACAGGATCAGCGAAATGCATTGTAAACAGAAAATAGATAATTCTAAAAACAGTTGGTGGTTATCTCTCGGGATATTCAAATTTATTACTTAAATGCGCCATCAAGCAGTAGAGCTTAAGTTCTTCCTGGTTTAGCTTTGAAGGCCACAATATCAAATGTACATTGTAATAGATACCTTAACAACATATTTGTACATCTTTTTTTTTTGACAAAAAGACTTGGCTTTCCTTATCTTCGTACTTTTCTGTTCTTCCTACGCTTTTTTCCACTACTGATACTACTATTTATTTAAATTTTCGTTATTATTACGTGCTTAATTTTGTCGACGAAAACAAATTAAAAAGTTGAAAGCAGACTCTTGTTTAAGAAACGTATTGACTAAAAGCAAGTGAAACTCGTCAAAAAAAGAGGACTTGATAAAAGAAATTTCAAGCAGCTGTGGCTTATTACTACTTATCTAGTGTAGAGCTTTATGAGACAAAAAATCAAAAACTTCTGAAATATTCAAAATGTTTATGCCGAGAATAATGAAACACATATTAGCTTATCTGGATTTTGCTTTTTTTTT